TATGTTCACAGTCATCATTGGGATCTTGTACCTGTACATGATCCATCCTGGTTCTTATTTTTTCCCCACTCCCCTGCCCTCCCTTCACCCCCTCCACCCCTCCCTATTTACAGAGCCCTTGTTTCCATTTTTTTCCTTCTTTCCTTTCCCCTACCCCTCCCACTTCCCCTACCTCTTTGGACCTTTTCTTCCTATTTCAAAATATAAACTATTCATTTTAATCCTTATTTACACTTCCAGTTTCTTACACCAGAGAAAGGCACTGCTTTTTAAAAGGACAAAACATCCAAGGTTCTCAAGAGACTACAGGTTTGCATGCAAATCTTGGTGGCAACAATCAGTGGCAAGATGAAGCTGAGTGAAGATTTCAGTGTGACACATCAGCAAGTGGTGCAAATCTGCGTCACCGTAACATTGGGGTGGGGAGCCAGTCTTTGGCCGATGTGTCCATTTTCATTTGGTTCTGATGGAAATGTCCAGAGGTGACATAAATTACAGTTTTAACTATGAAGCAAAACATTGCTTTAAAATTCTTATTATGAAAAAAAAATAAAATTCTTATTATGACACTTTCTCCTATAAAATAAAATGAATTTAACAAAAAGTTAAATCTTGTTAAGTATGACGAAAAGGGTAATTTAAGGATAACAGAGCTTCTAAACTTCACTGAAGTAAAACAACTTTAATGTTTTTAAAAAATATTTACATATGAGAAAATCTTTAGGGGTTTCCTGATCCACACTTACAGAAGGTACTAGGTTTTTTTTCAAACTACACATCATGCAGAATATTTCCAAAAAGCTAATGGTACCAGGGATCGAACTCAGGACCTTGCACTTGTGAGGCAGGCGGTGGAACCACTGAGCTAAATCCCCGGCCCCAAAATTACTTTTATATAGACAATAGATGAAAATAGTTTTAAAAGTCAAAAATGAAAATATGCTTAGGAAGCTCATTGCAGAGACAACTGCAGTGTTCCTTCTTGGGGACAACTGAGTTCTGTGGCTTGGCGGTTTCTTTGTGTTTCCTCACTGTCCCTAGAAAACGCGGCATGATTTTGTCCTGCCTCACCACTTCAGGCTTCCCCTGTGGCCTGCCCGGGGCAGCAGAGGGGTACTCTCCTTCTTCCAATCACCCGCAAGAGTTTTATTCCAGTCACCACTTTTGGTTGTATCCATACTCAATGTGCTTTTTACAGACTAAACTGTAAATACTACTTGCTGCTGACTTGGGATAGAGTAAATTACCTGTGTATATTCTTTTATGACTTCTAGTTTTTTTTATAGTGACTTTCTCTCATTTTTATTTGGTTTGTTTTCTAAGAGCTGCCATCTAAGCTTTTTTGCAGCCACTATCAGCTCTGTAAAGTCTTTCGGTATAATTTTCTGTATAGTCACACATACTGGGATATTTTCTCATGTACATATGTCTCTGTTCTCTTCCTCCAGCCTTAACTGGCTGCTTTCTAGGCCTCATGTAACTTGCTGCCCAGGAACTTCTACCTGCCGACTTCCTGCAAATTCCAGTCCCACTCCTCCGTCCTGGGGTCCCTTGCCTGGCTCTCACATCCCTCTCTTTCTTGGTAAACTCCATTCTTGGGTAGACAGCACATTCCAGTAGCTTCCAAAGAGAGAGTGCAGGAGAATTAACATTTTGAAATTGGCTGTTTAAAACTGCCTTTGTTCTACATTTAACTGATAACTGTCTTGATGGAATTCAATGAAGAAAATCATTTCTACTCAGAACTTGGAAGGCATTTCCATTTGGCTTTTAGCTTCAGTGAAACTGTTGCAAAGTTTCACGCCACTTTGATGTCCAGCCTTGGTATACAACCCAATTTTCCTCTCTGAAATTTTAAGCATGTCTCTTTATCTTACATTTTCACAATGGCAGGCATGGTGTAGAATTTTTTACTCATTCACTGTACAGCAACTTGGTAGATCTTTTCAATATGGTGACTCATGTCCCTCAGTTCTAGCACATATGCTTTTACTGCATTTACTAAAATTCCTCCCTACCACTTTGCGTCCTCCCTTACTTGATGTCTAATAGACACTGGACTTCTTGAATGAATTGTCTAATTTTCTTGTAATTTTCTCCCTTATTTTTTATTTCTCTCTGATTTTTAACATGCTTGACTTTGATTTCCAAACATTTTAGAAAATTCAGTTCACCCTGGTGGGACACACCTGCAATCCCAGAACTCTGGGAGATTGAGTCAGAAGAATGAAACTTTGAGCCCAGTCTGGGCAATATAGCAACTTAGTGAGAGAGATCTTGTCTCAAAATCTAAAAACTAAAAATAAAAAGGGCTGAGGATGTAGATCAGTGTGAATAAAAAAAAGAATTTCATTTCCCATTCATATTGGATATAATTATATTGTAATACAATTGCTGTATTAGTATTTCAGAGAATTGTTACCTGCATTAACATGTAGTAGATTCCAGCCATGCCATGGGCTGCTCCAACATATTGCTTCCTGTGCCACTGATACAACAAGGGACAGCGCTCAGCTTTTCTTTCTTCCCTTGACAAAGTCTTCCCCGATTCAATAATAGCATTGACTACCTGTAGAGATATTGAGACTCTATAAATCTAAAAAAATTACACGCATTCTATTCTGGTATAACTAACATTAATAATGTATATGTGTAGAGAGAGGGAGGGAGGAGTGGGGGGGAAGAGATTGTCTAAAAATCTTTAAATAGGAGCTAGTCGTTTTATTTATTTTTTATAAATTAATTAAGTACAGGCAGAGAGGAATGAGAAGACAATGTCAGAACAAAGATGTTAAGAAGTCTAACCAAGGAATCAAAAGTTCATTGTACGAATAGTTTACTGAACTTAAGACAAACTTCCTAATTAAAAATAGTTCCAGACATTTTCAGTTTTGTAGCTGCAATGTTTTCCCGAAAAGAATTTCAGGGAAGAAAGCCGGAGGAACTGGCTTCACTGATGAGACTAATAAAATGCAGTCTGCTATGGCATGAAGGATCTTAGATCAGAAGAATATCATGTCTAAGATGACTACACGGTAAAGACACTAATTGTTTGCTTATGTCCACGCTCCTCCCATCCTTCTGGTAAAGCACTCCAAGTTTTAGCTAGGCATCTGGCCTCTGAGCTAGAGAAGCTCAACACAGTCTTTTCCCTAAGTTCTGGGAACAGATAGGATGTGAGTGCCAGGAGGTGGCAACTTGTAGATGAACCCTGACAAAGGAAGCTGTTTTTCCTCCACTTTCTCTTTCCCCCTTCCACAACCAGCCACGGGTTCAAACCAATTCTGATCACATAGATGAGGTAAGTGGCAAGTACTGTCCAGTAAGACAGAAGAGGATGGGTCCCAGCCACAGTGGCCTCATGCACCTCACAAAAGGGAAACAAACAATGATTGGTTAGTTCTAGTAAAACCAACTGAATCAAAAAAGGGTAAATAAAAGTATAAGCTTAAAAAAATTCTATATTTTTACTGCAGAATGTACTAATAAATAAAATTTAAAATTCCTGAAAACCAAAACAGCTGTTTTAAAATTTTAATGAGATGCTTTAAAAAAACTTAATTTTACCCAGCAGCAGAGCCCAGCTAAGAACACGAGGCTATGTTAACAGAGAGCTGTGAATGCCCACAGGGTCAGCAATCCCACGTTACCTCTCTAACAGCAGATTCGCTCACGGTGCCTGGGCCAATCTCCGTGTTCACGTACAGTAAGGCATACAGATACCCTGCCCGTCCATACAGCAACTCATCAGGAAGCTCAGACTCCTGGCAGACGACAGTTCTGTGCAACTGCAGAAGTCTAACCAACAAGAAAAATTTTGTTTCCTAGGAAATGCCTAAAATACCTCTTCCTACACAGCTAAGTCACCTCATCACTTGAGGAATTATGTTACTATTTTTAAATTTAAAACTATGATTCAAAAAATATAAACCCAGGAAACAAGTAAACTTTACTGTACTAATTCCTTGTCAAATATCAAAATCAAGAATAAAACATCTTTCTGCTCAAAATTTCTGCCCTCATATGTATTCTAAACCATGTAATAGAAGTTATTTCATTGTGAAATCCATCAGAAGAAAGTGATTTAAAATCACTGAAATGTGACCAGGCTCAGGCACAGGCCTGACTCCTTCAAGTTTTCAACAATCATCAGCTGACTGGCATGAGCCAGACCCTCTCCAGGCCCCATGAGCCTGCCCTCGTTTCTGCTTCTTCAAGAAAGAATACAAACAATAGGCGCAATAAGTGCACATACCCCATAACTGTTCCATCATTAGCATATCTAATCAGTTATTTAAGGTTGAATTTTGTCATTTTCCTGGACCTAGGGCAAGTAAGCTAGTTTTCATGCATTGAAGGTAACCAAATTGCTTAGCAAAAACAATTAAGGAAACATGTTTATTTCCTCCAAATTAGAGGGGCCCCATGCTTGGAAAGAAACAGAACACAGGACCCCACCATTATGCTTAAGACTAACAGACAAACCTCTTCACTTTTTGGAGAGTCCTGTGTGTAATAGTAGACTGATTAAAAATAATTTCCTTTTTGAATGCCTTTCTACTGAAAGAACTTCAACTGAGAACTGGGAGAAAATATTCCGTTTTAAAAGCTCACTTTGTGATGCATTCCTGGGACTCGCAGTCACTCTTGAGTTTATGATATATCACGGCTCCCACAGCGAGTGGCCCAGCGTCTCCACAGAGGAAAGTGACCCTGCGGCCACTCAGGTTCCGAAGTGTCCTCTTGACGTAATCCAGGGATCGGAGCAGGTGAGTCTGGTCACCAGTGACCCGGTACAGTTGCAGGTACAAGAGGGCTACTCCTGGAACGAGTCCCCACCAAACAAAAGCACTGTGAGCTTTCTGCTCACCTTGGGGGTGTCCTTTCATAATTACAAGAACTCCCCTCTTCTATGCAATCCCTATGTCTTAGAAGGGACAACATTAAACACAAAACATTTCTTTAAAATGAAAACAAAACAAAAAACCAAGATATAGAAATCAGGGTAGAAAAAAACATAAAACAAGTTTAAACCTACTCGTTTGCTAATAGTCCTGGTGTAATAATTCAATACATCTACTCTTAATCCAGGGAGAGTTACCAAAGTCCTACTCATTCCTGGTTAATTTTCATTCATTTCCAGGCTGTACTCATTCTCCTTTGTATTTCAAGCAAACTTGCATCCTTTTCTTTGCATTTCTCACATATCATCTCCTCCTGCATTACCCTAAATTAAACAATTACTTTTCTGGATTTTATGCTGTCTTCCTAATTTTTGTTTTTTTTACAATTTTACCGTTTCCTTTAGTGATCAACTCATCCAACTGACCAACTAACCAGTGAATCACCTGCCATTTATGCAACAGCCACATGATACAGGGAGTTAACCAGAAGAATGGCTTACAGAGTGCTTAGGGTAATTGTTCCCTTAGTTTGTTATACAGCTCTCTGGAGGATTCTAACACATAGCCACTATGGAACCCAACAGTCGGGATTAAAAACAATGCTTTTTCAACACCAAGAGGAAATACTGTAAGTAAGAATTTTTAGAGGAAACTTGTTCTACTAATAGTATGTTATTTTTCCCTTCCAAGTATATTTTCCTTCCCAAAATGTTCTTTGTATTTTATTTCTGGTTAACCAAAATATCTAGTTTTATATTTAAGATAAATTTCTTCGACCCTCTAAGTGAACTGGGTCCAGGTATATCTGAGCATGTAAGTCTGAAATATTTAATTCTAACATCAGTGAGTAAATGTTGCACTCATAAAAGGCACATAATAAAAGAAACATCACTAAAACGAATGCAAATATAAATTCAAGGCCATCATGTTTGGTTATGCATTGCAAACCCAGGCATTGATTCCTGGTGTCTCTGACATATATACCTGTGTCTATGCTGTTTATTAATTTAACTATAAAACTTTAGCTAGAAATGATTCTAAATTTCTATACTAATCATCATTAGCAATTTAATCAGACTTTAATCTGAGAAAATGAAGTCTACCTTATTTCCTTTATAAACTCCAAACAGCTATTATAATGTGTGGCTAACTGGTAAAACAGTTAAGAATGCAAAGACAAGACAAGTCTTTTTTGAAATTATGCTTTTTGATGCGAAGTATATTATTGGTTACCTATAAAATTAAAATAGAAACCTTTATGTGAGTCAATGAATCAAACTGAGTACATGCAGGAGGGTAAACAGTTTATGAAACAGACCGGAAAAAATCAAACACAACTTGTCACAAGACTAAAGCAACAACAATAACAACAACAACAACAACAAAACCATAAGGTACATTTGCTATTACATATGTCCACAACTATATTATGTTAAATAAATAATATTATAAAAATATGACATACTACATGTTACAGGTCATAATTCAGGTAGAAAGCATTTCTTTAGAAATAACATTACAAAGCACTTTATCAATAAAGACATTGTTCAAGGTTCCAAGGGTATAAAACATTACCATTTTAAAAGAAAAGGAAATTTCAAAGCCAAATCTTACATCTCATGATCCAAGAATTAAACATCAGTTACTATCCCCTATTTTCTCACCTGTCCAACCAGTATAAGCAGAGCAATCATGAGGATCAGCTGTCTTCAGCCCTTCTTCCATTTGCTGCAGAAGATCTTTGATTTTGGTCTGAATCCTCCTAGTGAAATTCTGAATGATCTGAGAACCAAAAGAAGAGAGAAATTTAAACTGCACAAGAACAGAACAATGCTGCAGTAACAGTCTAAGTTGCATGAACTTAAAGACAGAAGATATTTGTCTTGGCCCATTTCATGGCCTCACGGGCTTTTATAGGTTTAGTATTTTCATGATATAATGCCCTAGGTGGATTATAACTCTTAAGAATAACTTACAGAACAATAACTTACAGAATAACTTACAGAAACCAAAGGAGGGAAAAACAGAAAAAAAGTGACAGATGTGACTATACAAACACTTTAGCTTCTAAAGGTAAAGAACATAAAAAGCAAAAATGTTCAATCACTTGGTGATTAATGAAATGCAAATAAAAACAAATAACACTATAGATTTCCTCTAGTATTTTTATATGTTGTTTAACTCTTCTCTGGTCTCCAGAATTTCTAATGAGAAATCAGCTATTAGTCAAGTCCCCCTACAATGTGTGATGTCTTTGCTTTTTTCAAGATTTGCTCTTTTTTCTTTGCCTTGTCTGGCAGCCTTGCACTTATTATGCTAGATGTCTGTTGGGTATTTTGCATCTATAAATTTGACTGTTGCCTTTTGCTCGTTAGTGCAAATTTTCTACATTGTAATTATTGTATTGCTTTGTATTTCATGTTTTTTACACTCATGACTTCAGAGTTAAGTACTTGTACACCAAGTATTGCAATCACCTTTCTCTTATTGTACATGCAATGCAGTTTTGGTGCTTAACAATATTCCTTTTCTTTAATAAAGGATATTTATTTGAAAAAAAAAAGAAAAAATTTGTTCTAGTGTGAGGAAATATTACTGCCATATATAAAAATACAGAAACCTTAAAAAAGACAGATCACTAACTTTTACAAAACTAAGACCATAACTTCAAATGACGAGTAAAAAGCCTCAAAATAGATGTTTAATATACATAACTCCTAAGAAGAAAAAAGTAATTTTGAACAGTTATTCATGAATCAAACTTTTTGATATGAATGGCAGTTTAAATGCACCAGGAGAACTTACTACGGAAATCACTCACGTACTTTTAATAAGAGAGACACCTCATCTAATTCGACCCTCCATCCCCATGGACCAGATGAAGAAACTGAAGCTAAGAGACAATGACTTGCCTACAATGTTGAAGATAATAAAAATAGCTTTTTGACCCACATCTTATGCATGTGATGATATACAAAAGGTTACAACTGTATGTACACCAGTAAATCTTTCTTAGGAAAGCTTTTAATGAATCTTTTGTTAGGGGATATGGACTGGAAAAGCGTATTTCACAACCTCAGATCTCCTAGGTAAATTATCTCTTGTAAATGATGGTCTGTGATGTATCAGAAAGCACAAAGACTTGGTTTGCTCATAGGGTGCCATAGGCAAAGGTTAGAAAGACAAGAGAGCAGCAACCCGTACCTCAGAGTTAATTACCAAAGAGAGAAGCTTTCAACAGTACAAAGTTAGATGGTGATGGAAACATCTACCTCCACATAGTGGGATTTTCAATAAACAGATCCCTACCTAAGCAGACTCTGTACCAAGAAAATGCTATTTGCTTAGGTGTTTGAAAACACTTCCTTCTGCTATCAATAAGCACAGATTTACATAATCCAGTCAGTGCTTCTCATCTCAAAACTGGAACAGAAAATATAGATTACCCATCCCCAACCCTGTCTGACACGTGTCACAAAAAGAGCAGATAATCTCAAGTGCATTCTCTCTAGGGCATATGTATCATAACCATAAGGAAAAAGTAAAAAGTGAAGTGTATGCAACATATTTTCTGTGTTCTACTGAAAATATGAATTTTTTGTTTTTGGTATCGGGGATCAAACTCTGGTCCTTGTGCTTGTGGGGCAGGCGGTGGAACCACTGAGCTAAATCCCCGGCCCGAAAATATGAATTTTAAAGAAAATTTCCACAATCACATTTTATATAATAAAAATAGAATAGAAAATGATGTTAATAGCTATCATTGACTGAACTCTTCCTATATACCTATGTATCAGTAACTGTGTATCCCTAACTATATTAGACACTGTTCTGAATGTTTTAATGTATTAACTCAATGAGCCACTATAACCACCAAGGATAGGGTACTTACATGACAACTACTTATATGACAACTGCAAACTTTCAATAAACATTACAATGATATTATTGAGAATCTCAATCATAGCCTTTCACTTCAACTCTACAACAAGTGGGTCAGTTAAGAAAGCCAAGCTTCAAAGCAGTTAAGTGGCCTGCCCTATGTGGTCGCAATACCTGGCAGGAAGGCATCAACAGGCCTATCCAACTTCTTAACTACCCTACATGCCAGTGCATTTGCCAGGCCTGAGAAATACTATTTCATTAGTTGCATCTCCATAATCTTTCCTTTATCCTTTATGTCATCACTTTTCCACAGTAGGAATTGAAAATTGCCTGGATGCTAAGTTCTTATTAAAAGCAAATCAACAAACCTATATAGAGAGAGCAATAATCCTCAAATTTACAAATCCCTGTCTGAGGATCTTGTTAAAATGCTGACCGCAGTTCATGAAGTCTGGGGTGGGATCTGCATCCCTGACAAGATTTCAGGTAATGTTGATGCTTCTGATCCACAAACTGCACTTTGAGGAGAAAGGTTGCAGAGTATATCCCACCATCCCTCATTCCTCTCCCTCACACTGCTATAGTCAATTTTGTTTGTATTTGATTTATTTATTTTAGTTTTAGAGATGAGTCTCACTATATTGCCCAGGCTGGCCTGGAACTTCTGAGCTCAACCGATCCTCCTGTCTCAGTCTCCCAAATAGCTGAGACTACCAAAGAGTGCCTATGTGCTTTCCTAATTCATTCTGAATGAAGAATGAAGAGAAAAGAATTACAGCTCTCAGGGCAATTGAAAAGTGCTGATTTCCTCATTTTTCCCTAATATACTATGATGTTAAACTTTAAAATGAAAGAATACCCACTTCTATGGCCACTTTCTCTCTCCCTGTGTGTCTTTGTCTCCCTTCCCTTCTCCTAAGGACACTAGTTATTTTGGATTAAAGACTACCCTATTCCAGTATGACCTCATCTAAACTAATCACATCTGCCATGGCTATTTCCAAATATGGCCTAGTGGTTTGGACTTCAACCACAAGCGTTGAAAGTAGGAGGGAAACAGTTAACCTATAACACCTTCATTTTTAGGAAATTTCATGTCTATCTTTTAAAACCACTATTCCTCTCATTAATGTTCTCTCATTTTCATATTCAAGAACAACACAATTATCTATTTCCTCTTTTCTTTAGCACATAATCACAACCATTGACACAGGTCCTCACCCCAACTTATTATTTTAATTGTAGAGAGATATCACAAGCTCCATTAGTAATTTAATTTTCTCTTTTTTTTTTGGTACCGAGGATTGAACTTGGGTCCTTGCGCTTGCAAGGCAGGCGGCAGAACCACTGAGCTAAATCCTTGGCCTTAATTTTCTCTTAAATATAAGTCAGTGTGGTGTATAATTGAGGTCAAAATAACACTTTTCCAGGTGTAAAAGATTAAAAAAATATGCAATTTCAGAGCTCTGAACTTTGGACCAGCATTTATCTCCTCATCCGAGGTTGAGAATGAAACTCCCCCTCGAAGGCCTCTTTACTCATCTTGAGACAGTTTATCAATTCACTTCACTTCTTTTCCACTAATCCTTGCAGTAGCCTCCTAATCCCAAGGACAGTACTGAAAAGGGAACTGGTAATGAGTATAAATGGTAGATGTTTTCTAACTGCTAAATTTCTAAATTTCCAGGAATTTATTTTGTTATAAAATATTTGGACACTAAGTCACAAGTATAACAGATTTATATGTGTAAAACTTGAAAAAACTAGAGAAAAACCAGTATTGACATTAATTCTAAACGATGATGACTCAAAACATTAAGGGGAAGAAAGGCTAACATATATTAAGGGACTATGAGTTACAAAGTCAGGCAGTTTGACAGGCAATTTGTATACTTTATTTCAATCATTGACATCTCTAGGTTTGGACCCATAGCCCAGTTTTTAATTACATACAAAACAAGAGAGGTTTAGTGAAGCATTTGCCCAACATTCCATTATCAGACAATGGCTCTTTCAAAACTACTTTCCTAGTTTGGGCCACCTTATTTCTCCCTTTTCAAATAGAAAATACATGGGGAGCTAGGAAGGTAAAGTGAAACTTTGAACAGGTGCATTAATAATAATAATAACAAAAAGATAAATGTGTGATTACAAACATGAACATGGTTGTGCTGATATTCACATTTTCCTTTATTTTCACTTATTACCCTTCTCAATTTAGCCTATGTTTATATTCCAGGTGAAGGGTTGTTATGGCTTATATCTAGATGCAATTCCAAGGCCCCATGCACTTATAGGTAGGGCTTTTGGGAGGTGGCTGGATCATGGGTTTGATAACCCACAGATGGGTTTAGCATAGTTGTGAGAGAATTACAGAAGTGGGAAGCCCCACCCTGGGTGTGGCTGGCATCAACCAAAAGGCTTATAACCTGAATGGAATATAAAGGGAAAGAAAGGTTTGTCTCTAGCTGCTTCCTGCCTGTCATGCCACGGAATCTCTCTCTCCCCTGCTGCTCTACCTTGGAACCAGCCAACTATGTACTGAAACTTCTACAAATTGTGAGCCAAAATAAACCTTTCCTGCTTCAACTTGTGGGTCTCGGGTATTTTGTCCCAGCAACGAGAAAGTGAATAAGGCAAGGGTGGCAAAATAAGCCACCCCCAAATATGCCACTTTGGCACAATTACTTGAATCTGAGCTTAAAATACTTGAACAATAGCCTCACGTTTCTCTAAATTACCTCTTTTTCTCAGTGTAGGATATAAATTTTTCAGATAGCACCCTAACACCCTCCCTAAACCAGAAGAAAGGAAACACTCTCAGCACTCGAGGGAAGATGTCAAGAGAATTTTATACAAACAGACCTTATTAAAATAGCCTCACTATGTACTGTGCTGTAGATGCTTTCCCAGATTTGTCTTTGTTCAGTCCGGTATAGGAGCATTTAGGTTTTGACACTTGGTGTCATTTCCCTCTAAGGGCTCCCGTGTCCCGTGGCATAAACGTACTAAGTAACGTGCATGCTTTTCTCCAGTGTCATCCTCCGGCCAGCGAGGGTCCTCAGAGGTAAGTCCAGCTTCCCCTACACTCGTTCCCAACGCTCGGCTGAGCAGAGCCCAACCTCAAGAGCAACACCTTCCTGCGCTGCTCCCAAGCCCCATCCGCGGGCTGAGGACCGCGGCCCGCAGCTCACGCGTGCACACGCACACCGACTCGCGCGCGGCCGCAGCAGACGCAGGTGCCAGGCTCTGCGCGCACACAGCGCTACCGCTGAGTAGCCGTTGGGCGGCGGGAGTCCCGCGTGCCCTCCGCGCGCTCGAAGACCCGCGGGCCCGGGCGGGCTCTGGGCGGGCCGTGCACCCGCGTCCTCCACCTGGGTGCGGCCCCCACGGCCTGGCCTGGCCAACCCCGGCCCGCGGCGCGCGCTGGTGACGTCACGGGGCGGGTCGGCGGGTGCGACCATCTTCCGCGACCCCCACAGGCGAGGTCCAGGCCCGTCGCTACTCACCTTCCCGTCGGGGTGGAAAGGGAGGCCGGGCTCGTCGGCGGCGGGCGAGGGCCGAGTGCCGCTCGTCTCCTCGGCCGCCCCGGCACCAAGCCCCGCGGCGCCGGCGGCGTCGTAGTCCGGGAAGGGGTTGGCGAATGCCCGCTCCATGTCTCCTTCGCCGCCTAGGTGCAGCCTCAGCCTCTTGGACATGGTCTCGCCCATGTCGCGCGCTCCCACCCCGGGCGCCACGGCGCGCGGAAGGGGACAAACTTCCTCCGGCGTTTCTCGATCCGGCCGGGTGGCACTCGGGCTCGCGCTGGCCTGGCTGGTGCCGGCCTCTTCCCGGGCTCCTCAGGGCGCCAGGGGCTGCGGGCCGGCGGGGCGGGCGCGGCCTGGTGGTGGGCGGCAGCCTCCGAGTGGGGCCGGGCTCCTGGCGGGCGGCAGGCACATCAGAGCGCAGCCGGACCGGGACTGCAGAACCGGCCGCGGCCACGCGCAGGCAGGACGGAGCCGAGCGGGGCGCGCGCCGCTGCCGCGCCCGGCCACCTGCGGGACGGGGCCGCGGTCAGTCGCGGGCCCCGGCCCCGGGGGTCGCCGTCAATCTCGGGCGCGGTCACTCGCGGGGCGCGCGCCTCCTGGCAGTCCGCATCCTCCCCGCCACCCGGGCCGTGCTGCTGGTGGCGCGACAGTCCCAGGAAGGGCAGCAGCGTGGATATTTAACAAAGCTCTTCCGAAGACAGGAACCCGAAAACCGCTTGAACACCGCACGGATGGTCTCCCGGGCGGGAGGACATGGTCCCTCCTATTCAGCATGGTCGGGAGGGAGATCTGGGAGGAGGAGCCACGGGCCCTCTTTTATATATATATATATATATATGTGTATATATATGTATATATATATGTGTATATATATGTATATATGTGTATATATGTGTATATATATGTATATATGTAGATATATGTAGATATATATATTTTTAATTTTCGGTCCCTTCGTTTTGAATAAATGAGGATCGTTGGTAACAAGAGATCATATGAAAGCGTAAGCATCTAAATATTTTATTGACCAGAAGGATCCCTTCTGTATTAATATAATTGGCCCAGAGCACAAGGTATCAGAAGACAAGCGTCAGGGATTTAGCTCAGTGGTTCCGCCATCTGCCTCGCAAGCTCAAGGTCCCGAGTTCGATCCCCGGTACCAAAAAAAGTAACTAAAATTTAAAAAAAGAAAAAGACAAGCAAAGATCTTTGCATTTATATAATCACAATGTATTTACGGTCGTTATGAGTTTTCTTTACTCTTGGTGCTCTTATTTAGAACCAAAGCAGTGTTATGATTCCACCTTAAGGGAATGTCCTATTTCAGTTTTCTTCCATTTAACAAACGTTGGTTGTGGGTGATGAAATAGATTAAAAAGTTTTTGCCTTCCAGGGATTCACAGTGGGTGAGCAAGGCAAGAATTGCAGCACAGCATAATGTGTGTAGTTTTCTAAAATCAAGCAAGGCACATGATTGTAATGTGAAAAGTGACTCAATGGAGAACACAGTACCAAGCACTGGAATGGCACAGTCACTCTGCCTCTGGCCTCAGAGGGAATGTGTGGGGTGGAGAAGACCTGGCTTTTCACTTCTGTCCTGTCCTGCTGACCCACAGGCCCACCATGGCTGTAGATGTAAGGTCCCTACTAAGAGTGTTACTGTGGGAGCATGCAGTGTGACAGAAAACAGCCCTGGAGGGGTACTCAGGAAACCTGCCCTCCAGAGATGCAGCTGAGGTAACAGGGTGGCTGTCACAGCAGCAGCTCTTGATGCAGGTGTGTTTCTCCCGTCCATTGGAGTCGCTCCTAGTTTTCATGCCTCCACTGTACAAGAAATCCGGTCTACTAATGGCTGATGCCCACCCGCCTAGGAGCTGTCCCTGTCCCACCTGAGGGACTTTATTGGTCAGAATACCCCAGGAACTGAACCTTGGAGTCTGAAGACAGAGGGTGTGGCTGCATAACTGTCTCCACACCAGGGTTGGGTCTGGGGTAGCTCCTCTGCAACATGCTCCCCAGATGGGTTCACTAGTACCCCCAGTAGGAGAGCCATCCAGACTCAGGCACCTAGGAAATCAGGTACAGGAGGTCTTTCATGCAGAGGTGCAGTCATCTCAGAGGCAGCCCCAGCACCACCGTATGTGCAAGGAGTTGGTCTTTCCTTTACCTTTTGATAGCCAGGTACAGCTGTCTGGCTCAGGAGCTCAGCCTCCCTTGTTCATAGGGGTAGTGTAATTCTGAGAGCGGTGTGGGCCTGAGTTAGAACAATGTGGGATCTAGTATATATTTTTACATTTCATTTTTTCCTGCTGCCTTGACACCCCTGAAGCAGGTTGTGACCCCCCTATGAGGCCAATAGTGCACCAGTAACTAGACTTGCTCCTGATACAATTTCCTTACTGCTCTTTCCCAACTGTGACAAAGATTCTGTGCTTCAAACTTTGGTGAGGGTCCTGAACATTTTGTTAGGCCCATCTGTACACTTCCTTATAAATCCAGTTTCAGCAAAGTCAATTTAGTAAAAACCCCACAGCCCTCAGTGTGATTGCACTTGGTGTCTGACAGGGCTCTCTGTCCTCCATGGCAGGTGATACTGCATCGCCTGAGCTTGTGTTCAGCAAGAACCCTGTTAGTCCACCGAGTCACAATCCTCCACCCCTAATGTTTTCTGTTAGTAATTTTCTATCCACTGACCACATCTTGTTCTTGGCTATATTTCCCCACTTGCTATGTTCAGAGTTCAGTCAAATCGCTTCTCCAGAGCAGAACCCCATTGCCATGATCCCTTTACCTATAGAGATCATCTTGAATAAAATCTGCCTTGGTGTGCTGTAACAGGTGTTCTTGAATAACTTTCCTTTAGCACTAGTGAATTCAGACACACCAGTGGAGTCCCACGTGCCTTTTGCTTGTGTCTTCACTCTGACCCCACCAGTCCTGCTCATCTGCTCCCTCCTGGGTGGTTGTACCTGCTCTCTGGCTCTCTCCTCGTGGCTTCCTCCCCGTAGCTGCCTTGACTGTCTTTCTAGAAGTCAGATTTACTTTCCTGTACCTCTCTCATAGACATATCCAACTGGCCATCTCACATAAGAATACAAAACAGGGTCTTTGACCCCAGTTCAGCCAGGAGGATCCTAGGAAAAGAGCTGCATCGATGACTGTACCACTAGGCCCATGGGGGTCCAGAACAATATGTACCTCACACTCACCATCATGCCTGTCAGGGTGGCAGAATCACTATGGTACCCTGCAAAATACGGCAGCATCCGGGGAGCAGATTGTTCATGAGCACTTGAGAAAAATCATGAGGGCACCCACAAATATTTGTGGAGGGGAGTGGTTTTCAGGTAATGAGCCAGTGAAATATGAGTTCCTACTGTTCATATGACCATATTCAGAGGCCGGTGGATCTGCCTTACCTGGTGACCTGGTGCGGACAGCAGGTACAGAGGTAAGATCTTTCCCATAGTAGCTATAGTGTTTTTCCATAACAAGTTCCTTTTCTACTCAGATGGCTACCTCTGGTTTTATCTAGCTAATTATTTCCTTGCCTCTCTCATGCAAAGAAATAAGGCTCTTCTGATGCAGGTAAGGCTTGCTTTGGGAAAGCTCCCCCATTTATAAGGAAGGAGTTGGCTAACTGGGCAACTGCCTGACCTCCCTCTCTTCCACACGACTCACTCCATCTCTCGTGGGATGTTAGGCTTACTGTGAGGCATTTGGCATTGTTCTTTTCATTGAGACCATAGACCAATGATGGCAAACCGTAGACCAATTGACCAATTGAGTGCCAAACTGCAATCTAAAACCCAGTTATTTTATCACAAAATGCCAACACTGTAATTAAACCTGAATACTGAGGGTTCAGTTTAGATAAAACAACTCCTACATTAACAACTTTTGTCTTAAAAAAAATGCAATCACACGCATTCCATAGGTTGCCACCACTGCCATAGGCAATGCCACCATCTATGAATTGGTGGGATTTCCCCTCAAGGGAGTGGCTGTTTTTCTGCTAGTCTTCCTGCTGGGCTGTGTCACCAGGAGTGGAAAATCCTGCCTCTCTCAGAGCCCCATGCTCGTGATCCAAATGTAGAGGAACTCTTGTGTTTCCGGTGGTTGGGAGAGATGGCCTCTGCCTCACAGAGACAAGGCTGGAGCCAAGCTAGGAAGAGGGCACTAGAGATTCCTGTTGTTAGGCCTTAGACAAGTATCATGTTCTAGAGTGGGGCCTAGTCAGAAGGGACAGGTCACTGGGGCGTGATTTGGAAGGTGTGTCCTTCCCTCCCTCTCTGCTTCCTTTCCTCCATGCTGTGAGCAGCCTTCCTCTCCCATATCATTTTTTCATGCCATCTCTGTTTCTGTGTTGGAGCCTCCCAGCCATGAATGAACCCACTGAAACCATGAGCCAAAGCAAACCTCTATTCTTTTAAACTGTTTGTATTTTGTCCCAGTGACAGGAAAGGGACTATAGTTAAGGGAATTCACTGTGCTTTTTTTTTTTTTTTTTGGTATCAGAGATCAAACTCGCAACCTTGCACTTATGAAGCAGACACTGGAACCACTGAGCTAAATCCCCAGCCCTCACTGTGCCTTTTAACCACACTATGTGTGTACGTGTCATTGTGATCCATTTCCTTTTTTCTTTTGAGCTTTTATGAAGTCCTGGTTTAATAGTTTCGGACTGCTGCTGTGTCTCAGAAGTGGGCCCAACTCAGGCCAAAGCATCAAAGAGAAGGAAAGCCATGCCCAGTGTGCAGTCAGCTTGGTGAGTACGGATGGTAGTAATAGCACCCTCGAGGGGGCAAATATGGAGGGTGGGGTGAAGATCCAGCCCCTCCATGAGGTGATTCCGCATCTCTTTCATATTTGGAGGATTTGTCCTGATCATTCAAAGGACATTGTGTATTCCTTTGAACTACCCAACTAAGGAATGGTACTGGTACCATTAGGGTAGGAAAAGGAGAAGGAGAAGTCTATAAAAGATGGAGGACTGCACATGTGGGTATCTAAGCAAGGAAAATGAAAGCATGCCAACAAAACACTTCTACACGAATGTTCATAACAGCATTGTTCACAGTAGCTAAAAGTGGTCAACAGCGCACATATTCTTCAACTGATGACTAGAAAAATAAAATGTGGTGAATTTATACAGAGGAACAGAATTAAGCAGGAAAAGGGACCAAAGTATTGTTACATGCTACAACAGGGATGAACACTAAAGACACACTAATGAAAGGAAGCCAATCACGGAAAGACAAATAATGTCTGATACCATTCACATGGAATATCCAGGTCAGCAAATCTCTACAGACAAGAAAGCATGCTGGCAGTTTCAGGTGCCCGAAG